TTATTATTATTATTTTTTTTTTTTTGAGACGGAGTTTCGCTCTTGTTACCCAGGCTGGAGTGCAATGGCGCGATCTCGGCTCACTGCAACCTCCACCTCCTGGGTTCAGGCAATTCTCCTGCCTCAGCCTCCTGAGTAGCTGGGATTACAGGCACACACCACCATGCCCAGCTAATTTTTTGTATTTTTAGTAGAGACGGGGTTTCACCATGCTGACCAGGATGGTCTCGATCTCTTGACCTTGTGATCCACCCGCCTCGGCCTCCCAAAGTGCTGGGATTACAGGCTTGAGCCACCGCGCCCGGCATTAATTATTATTTTTTTTAACTGTTACCCAGGCTGGAATTCTGGAATTCAGTGGCACAATCCGGGCTCATTGCAACCTCCGCCTCCTGGGTTCAAGTGATTCTCCTGCCTCAGCTTCTGGAGTAGCTGGGATTACAGGCACCCACAACCACACCCAGCTAATTTTTGTATTTTTAGTGGAGATGGGGTTTCACTATGTTAGCCAGGATGGTCTCGAACTCCTGACCTCAAGTGATCTGCTAGCCTTAGCTTCCCAAAGTGCTGGGATTACAGGCATGAGCCACCGTGCCCGGTCCTTTTTGCTTTTTCTTTTCTTTCTTTCTTTCTTTTTTTTTTTTTTTTTTAAGAGATGGGGTCTCACTATGTTGCCCAGGCTGGCGTGCAGTGGCTATTCACAGTTGCAATCCCACTACTGATCAGCACGGGAGTTTTGACCTGCTCCATTTCCTACCTGGGCCGGTTCACCCCTCCTTAGGCAACCCGGTGGTCCCCCGCTCCCAGGAGGTCACCATATTGGTGCTGAACTTAGTGCAGACACCCGGTCGGCATAGCGCACTACAGCCCATAACTCCTGGGCTCAAGCAATATTCCCGCCTCAGCCTCCTGAGTAGCTGGGACTACAGGCACGCGCCACCGCGCCTGGCCCTTTTTTCTTTTTTTGGAGACATAGTCTCTCTCTGTCACTCAGGCTGGATTGCAGTGGTGCCATCTTGGCTCACTGCAACCTCCGCCTCCCAAGTTCAAGCAATTCTCCTGCCTCAGCCTACCAAGTAGCTGGGATTACAGGCACATGCCAGTACCCCCGGCTAAATTTCATATTTTTAGTAGAGATGGGGCTTTGCGATGTTGGCCAGGCTGGTCTCGAAACCGTGAGCTCAGGCAATCTGCCTGCCTCAGCCTCCCAAAGCGCTGGGATTACAGGTGTGAGCCCCATGCCCGGCCTGTATGCATATATTTTTAACTGTCATATGATATATCTTGTTTTGCAATTTCTTTCTTTCTTTTTTTTTTTTGGAGACAGGGTCTTGCTGTGGTGCCCAAGCTGGAGTGCACTGTTGTAATTATGGCTCACTGCAGCCTCGACCTCCCTGGGCTCAGTCATTCTCCCACCTCAATCTCCCGAGTAGCTGGGACCACAGGCACATGCCACCATGTGTGGCTAATTTTGTTGTCATTGTTTGGTAGACATGGAGTTTCCGCCATATTGCCCAGGCTGCTCTCAAATGCCTGGGCCCAAGCAATCCTGCCTTGGCCTCCCGAAGTGCTGGGATTGCAGGTGTGAGCCACCGCGCCCGGCGACTTTTCAGTTGTTTTATAGTAATTCATTAGACAGCACAGTTTATGTAACCAATAGCTTATTATTGTACTTCCAAATTTTATCCAATTATTTGATACAACAAAGAATGCTGTGGTAAATATTCTCATTGCTAAATATTTGCCATTAGATTATGCCACTATCTCTTTGGGATAAAATCCAAAAAGTGAGGTCGTTGAGTCAAAGACGTGAATAGGCAAACTGCCTTTCAGAAAAGCTGCCTTAACGGATAGTCCCACCTGCAATGCGTGAGTGCCTGAGTCTCCATCTCTCCCCAGTGCTCTGCTACAGTCTTAATGGAGAACTCTATCAGTTTGATTGACAAAAAAGGAAACAGTTTATGTTTCTTGGATTACCAGTGAGAGAGACCATTTAAAAATCTATTTATTGGCTATGTTGTCCTTTGTGTGCTTTCAATTAATTTGTTGGGATTGTTTATATAGTTAATGTCTTAAGGCTGGTAACTTGCCCGTCATTTATGAGATATTTTTCTCTAGTTTCTTGCTTGCCTTTTAATTTAGCCGAAAGAATCTTTTGGTGAACATGTTCTTAAAAATTGTTTCCAGCTGGACGCGGTGGCTCACACCTGTAATCCCAGCACTTTGGGAGGCGGAGGCAGGCAGGTCACAAGGTCAAGAGATCGAGACCAGCCTGACCAACATGGTGAAACCCCGTCTTAAAAAAACAAACAAACAAACAAAAAGCCGGTCTCTACAAAAAATAAATAAATAAATAAATTAGCCAGGCATGCTGGTGCACGCCTGTAGTCCCAGATACTCCTACAGGCTGAAGTGGGAGGATGGCTTGAGCCCAGGAGGTCAAGGTTGCAGGGAGCCATGATCATGCCTTTGCATGCCAGCCTGGAAGACAGAGACCTCATCTAAAAAGAAAACGAAAAACCGCTGGGCGCGGTGGCTCACGCCTGTAATCCCAGCACTTTGGGAAGCCGAGGTGGGCAGATCATGAGGTCAGGAGTTGGAGAACAGCCTGGCCAACATAACGAAACCCCGTCTCAACTAAAAATACAAAATTTAGCCGGGCATGCTGGTGCACACCTCTTGTTCCAGCTACTACTTGGGAGGCTGAGGTAGGCAAATCACTTGAACCCGGGAGGTGGAAGTTGTGGTGAGCCGAGATCGCGTCACTGTACTTCAGCCTGAGCAACACAGACGCCATCTCAAATAAAATAAAATAAAATAAAATAAAAAACACGCCAAGGCCACTCCCTTGGTCTGGACATAGATCTGCATAATCTACCCACTCCGGCATTCTGCTGCCTCATTTCCTCCTTTCCAAACTCCTGTTATCCTCATTCCTGCAGGGAGTGTTTTCCAGTCCTCCATGGCTGCCAGGCAGGGCTGGGTGTCCCCTGCCCTCACCCAACTTCCACTTTCTCCCGTGCTGCATTTGCAGAATTGCAGTGATCAACTGTTCACGTTTCCTTCTATCCATCCTAGGGTGTGAGTTCCCTGAGAGCAGAGGCACAGCCTGGTCCTGGCACGGTGCCTTGCACACAGTACGCATCCGATACATGTGGTTGACTTGAACTTCATGTGGGTAGAGGATGCGTAGGTGGTGGTAGTGGGGAAGCCTCACTGTGGTCCCAACAGTCTGGAGCTACTTTGCGTATGTATCTGGCCTCTGGGATGCAAATCTGGGAAGATCAGTGTTTGCATGGAGAGCAGGAAGTAAGAGCAGAACCCGAGGATGAGGAGGATGAGGGCAGAGACCGGAGAGGACTGGGTATTTATCTAGCCAAGGGCTCTTGTGGTCCAGCCCGGGCCGAAACTGAGACTAGGGTACTCTCGGTTTCTCCAGGTGGGTGCTTCTTGAATTTTTTCTACCAGAGAAACGTAGTTGAAGGAGGACAAAGGGCGGTTTCACACAGCGCTGATCACAGACTTGGGGGCCGATCAGCGTCCGGAGCACCAAGAGGCAGCGTGGGGGCTGGATTCACGAGGTAAGGTGTTGAGCAGGCGGGATGGGGAGGTGGAGCTGGGGCGCAGGCACCAACCCTTGAGCGACGCATTTCCCTTTCTTCTCTGGGTGTGTGCGGTGGGGTCTCCCTAAAAGCCCCACCCCCACGGGTGAGTGAGGAGGGCCCCATCTTTCCAGTCCCCGGGGAGCCCCAGCGTCCGCGAGGACAGGGAGGCCTCTAGCGGCCGGCGTGGGGAGCAGGCGAAGGCCGGCGGGAAGGGCGGGAGGGCATTTCCTGCCCAGGCCGGGGACCGCGCGGTTTTGCAAAGGAAGTGCCGCCGGGACGCGGGGCGGGGCGGAAAGCGGGGCGAGGTGAGGCCAATGGCGGCTCAGAGGCCGCAAGGGGCGGGGTGGGCCGAGCCCCGGCGCCTGCCCCACCCAGGCCCCGCGGCAGACCCCGCGGCAGACCCCCGCACCAGAGCCAAGTTCTGCCGCGGCGGCCTCCACCCCGAGCCCCGCCCCTTCCGCTCTGGGGCAGAGGCCACGCCTCCCCGCCGCATTCCAGAGCTGCCCCTACCCTAGGCCTTCGTTCTGCTTTGCAGCTAGCAGTATCCCGTCGACCGTGTCCAGGCATTTTAATTAGTCCTGCCAAGATGGCACATCTCCACAGCCTGGAGGCTCAGATTTTGCGCTGTGACGCTACCCATTCCCACCTGAAGCGTCCGGAGACCCGGGCAGCTCCTTCCTCCACCACCAGCCCCTCCAGGTGTGCTGAAGAGGGGCATCGCAGCAGCCGCAGGTGCGAAGCACACATCACTTGCCAAGCCCCCCGCAATAACCACAGAAGCAGGATGGGGGTCTGGCTTTCTCTTTAGTTCTCATCACACTAGGGCGCTCAGCCACAGAGAAGGCACTTAAATGGGAAAGCCACCTGACGCAGACCAACCGTATTGGCCCCCCAACTCTACGGGAGGGAGGCACCACGAAACCACCACTTGACATCCCCCTTGGCACTGGTATGTGGGTCCCCTTAACCTTTAGACCTCGGGGAGAGCCCAAGGCCTCGACCTCCGGAATCGCCTTGTTAGGAGGGGCTTCAGAAACGGAGCTGGAAGGCAGGATATCCCCGCAGCGGCCCCCAGCCAGCAGGGGATCAGGCAGGGGGCTGTAGAGGATGGGTTGGCACAGGGGAGGGGGACAGCTTGGCCGGGCTTCCTGGAGATCCCCAAACCCCACAAAAGATCCCACCTCCTACAGATCCCCCAAAGGCACCAGTGAAGTTGGGTGGGTGAGGAGGCACTGATGAGCTGGCATAGAGACCCCACACACACACTTAGCTGGTGGGCCTAGCATATGCTGGGCACAGAAGGTGCTCAAGAAATGTTTTTTTGAATGAATGAACGGAGCAAAGGGGTGTGAGAGGCAGAGGACAGGGCCTGGAGCTCCTTGGCCCAGCTTGTTCCATTCAGAAAATAGCAGTTTAAAAAACGTAAAAATCCTTTCCCTCCCTCCCCCCAACTTCTGGGCCCAGGAAAGGGGCAAGGGAGGGGTGTCTCTACCCTGACCCTTCCCTCTCTCCCTCCCCTAAAATTCTATATACACATATACATATTTATATGGCACCACAAGAGGGTCTTGCCTCCCACACTCAGGAGCTGGGGGAGCCAAGCCCCAGGGCTGGTTAAGGCTGAGTCTGAGGTGGTAGCTTGGGTGATTCGGGGAGCAGCCCTCAGCTGTCAGCCCTGGAGAAGCTGCCCTCTGGGTCCTGAAGGACAGACTCCCGCTTCCTTTCCCAGTGCTAACAGACCTCTCCTCCCTCCCAAGCAAAGGCAGAGGTTGGTGGGGGCCCTCTCCCAAGGGAGGAGGTGGGGCAGGGGGAGGCACTGGTTCTCCCCTCCCAGCCTAGAGCTGTGCTCCTGGGAAAGCTGGGTGGGGAAGAAGGAGCTCTATGCAAGGCACTTGATGTCCACCGTTCCCAGACTGGGGGCCCAAGGCAGTAACCCTGCCCCCAGGAAGCAGAACTGGAAGGGGCCAAGGGGCCCAATTTGGCAGCAGAGAAGCATGGCAGCATGGACAAAGGAGACAGAAAAAGGGAGCAGCAGGCAGGGCCCCCGAGGTCCCCTGAGAAGGGGGGAGGAGGTTCAAAGGCACTGACAGGGGGCCCCCGGCTCATGGTCCTCAGTGCAGCCTGCTGTCCCTATGCCACCTGGCGGGGCTAGTGGGGGAGACACCCACTTCCCCATGGCACTGAGTGTGGCGGCGGCCCATGGGTTTTCCTAACAAAGGCCTGGGCAGTCGTCCTGGTAGGAGGTGTGGGTGTCGTCGGTCAGGGGCAGGTCCTGGCCCCATCACCCTCACTAGCTCCCTGGCCGAGGCTGCCTGAGCACTGAGTATACGTCGTCCACGCGGCTGAGTTGCTCAAAGAAAGGAAGGAGGTCGTGGAGCTCTGTGTCACTCATGTTGTCAAACCACGATGCCACCGGTACCTGGGGAAGTGGGCGTAGGAAGGTGAGCGGAGGGCAGGTGGTCCTGGGTGCAGAATTTCCAGGCAAGCCCTATGTAGCCATGACTCACGCCATGCAGATTCTGAAAACCCCTCCCCCACAAATTCCAAACTTTTTTGACAGCAACCCCCAGGAAAACACATTTATAACATAACAATGCAAAAGCTTCAAGCCTCTTAACCCTAACTGTGCAAAGCACTCCATTACTTTCTTTTTTTTTGAGGCAAGGTCTCGCTCTGTTGCCCAGGCTGGAGCGCATTGGCGCAATCTTGGCTCACCGCAACCTCTGCCTCCAGGCTTAAGTGATACTCCCACCTCAGCCTTCTGCATAGCTGGGACTCCAGGCATGCACCACTGCGCCTGGCTAGTTTTTCTGTTTTTTTTGTAGAAACAAGGTTTTACCATGTTGCCGAGGCTGGTCTTGAACTGCTGGGCTCAGCTTACCCCGTCATCTCAGCTTTCCAAAGAGCTACGATTACAGGTATAAGCCACTACACCCCACCGGGTATTTTCTACTCTATTTCATTCTGTTAAAATTCCCGATCAGGACCCACTAAATTCATTCTGTGGGCCGTCAGTAGGTCACAACTGGCAGCTTGAAAGGCTGAAACTTTCCAAACTTCACTGCCCTGTGGAGGCCCCTGTGCCTGGCAGACACTCTGCTGTGCGTGACTGGAATGGACCTCGTGGCTACAGGGCAGGTAGACGAGGGAAGTGGGTGGCAGGCTCAGGCAACTGAATGCAGGAAGGACGGGGAGGGCACCTGCCCCCCGACACCAGCCAACTGGGGATCCAGGAGGCCAAGGTGGCCTGCTTCCCTTCCTGGGTCTCAGCTCCTGTCCCAGGCCAGCCCACACTCACGGCGTTGTCCGGATGGAAGACGTAGGAGGCGGGCGAGTTGTCCAGGATGAGTACCCGCCGCAGGTCTCTGCCCAGCCGGCTCAGGTCCTTCACGTAGTTCCCCCGGTGGAAGACACAGGACTCTCGAAACAGCCGGGCGCGGAAGGCCCCCCACTTGTCCAGCAGGTCAGCTACTGGGTCTGCATACTGGGAGCAAGAGGCAGGTCATCCTGGAGCCTGCAGGCTCATTGGGCTGCATGCCGGAGGCGGGTGGGAGGGCAGGGTTACCCCAGGACCTCTGTGGGGCTCACCTTGGCGAGGCTGGCAGTGAACAGCACACATTCGAAGAGCTCGCCCATTCGCTGCAGGAACTCATCCACGTGAGGCCGCTTCAGCACGTAGACCTGGGGGGCAAGCCAGTGAGGAGGCTGCGGGCCAGTGGGGCAGGGGAGGGGCAGCGGAGGGTTGGGAGGGCATGGGCTGGGGAGGCAGAGGCGCACAGGAAGGCGGCTGGGCCTGCAGGCTCCACTTGGCCAGCCACCCTGACCACTTCTGGGGAAACCACCCCCCCTCCCAGAAAACGATCAAAACTTCCACTCCACTGGCCAGTCCTACCTCATGAAGTCACTAATTCCCAGTCCCTTCCCCTGCCTCAGCCTCAGCCCAGTGCAGAAGTCAGGGGCAGCCCCCTCACCCCAAGGCTGCAGTGCACCGGTCCCCGAGCCAAGTAATGGAGAACAGGCTGGACAGCACACAACCTATCCTGAATTACTTGAACTGGGTCCCGGGCAGGGTGGGGCGAGGGGGCACAGAACGGGGGGCCTAGAAGAGGAGCCCACGCTGCAGCCTGGAGTCAGCCCAAGCCCCTGTGGTTCTGTGTGCCTTTGAGGCAAGCCTCACACCCTCTCTGGGCCTTTGACATTCCACGTCTATGCAATTCCCATCCAAGGCGCTCCGGATTGGTGGGAATAGCCTGGGGTCTGGAAGGCAGAGGCCAAGCCCACCACTGCCTCCCCCTGGCCCTCACCTGGTGGACCACCCCATCAATCTCCACAGGGATGATGAAGTCGGCGTTGTTCACTGGCTGTAGGGGGAAAAGAGCTGCTGGAGTTGGAGGGGGTAGCCCCAGGGGGCGGGGCCCAGCATACACCTCCCTCCCAGGCCAGGGTGGGGGACCCCCGCCAAGACCCAGACTCAGGGCTGTTGAGCAGGGCCCACCTTGAAGGAGCTGTGCACCAGGGTCTCATCCAGGTCGATGACCACGCAGATCTTGTCTGAGTCCTGGGCCTTGGCCTCAGGGAGCAGGTACTGGACTGGGGTCTGCTGTGGGGAGGGTGGGGCTGGCTGGGGGGCCTCTCTCCAGGCCCCATCCTTCCTCCTGCCCTCTCTAGAGGAGCCCTGGAGCCCAGGGCAGATACCACCTGCTTCCCAGCTTTGCCCCTGCCAGCTCCGGCTTGGATAGGCCACCCGGCTGAGCCCTCTCTGAAAACCAAGGTAGAGAAAAGCTTCCACCTATGAGGGAGAATTCAGTTTCCCCATAGTGGGCAGAGCCTGGCAGGGGAGGCTGACACCCTCCCGCTCTGGACCTGTCAGGGTCCATAAGTGTGTCCTGAAAAGCTCAGTCAGGAACCCCTTCCCCTAAAGCCCTGAAGCCCCACCTGGCCCCCACACACCTTGGGGATGGCACCATTCTCCTCCACAAGCAGAGGCGACCCGCTGTGGGCAGGCAGGGCCTCCCCATCGTCCCGGCAGACGCAGCAGAACAGTGAGTGGAGGATGCCCCGGCTTCGGGGCTTCTGGGAAGCTGCTGACCTCTGGTCACCTGAAATAATGAGGCCCAAGTTGAGGGCTGGGTGCACACTGGCGTGCAGAATGCTGCATGTGTGCCCAGGCATGAACCCCTGAGCTGGGAGGATCTGGCCGTGGCCACTTCATTAAGGGAGACACACTAAGGCGGCTCCTGACTCTTCCTGAAATGCCCCTGCCAGGGGCCCCACAGTCTGCTCCAAGGCTCCTGCAGCTCCCCACAAGTAGGTCTAGCGGTATTAAGGCGCCCGCCCACATAGGGAGTGGCTGCCTGGAGAAGGGGATCCTGGGGTGCGCTTTCCCTGCCTCTCACAGTCTCCATGACTGCTGATGATCATGACCCCACCTTACCTGAGCACTCCGGCTCAGAAGAGTCAGGGCCTGGGGCTTAGGACAGTTGTCCACCCCTGCCCCTCCCTCTATCCTCTCCACCCCTGTGGGACAAAGTCCTCACTGCGGCCGGACCCAGAGTCAGGGGTGCAGACCCGCGGTCTGGGTCCAGTGTCCAGCGGCCATCTGTTTGCCCCGCTCCGCCGACCTCCGACCTGGAGCCCGGCAACGGCTGCCTGATTGACAGACACCTCACCCACCCCACCCCACCCCCTCCAGCCCTCTGCAACTAGCTTTTCCACCTTGCCCCCTGCTCCGAGGCAGCCAGGCCCAGGTGGGGGTGGGCAGACCTGGGGGCAGCGCCCAGGTCCTGAGGTCCACACAGGGAAGAAGAGGGGCAGACCCCCACCCCGGTCCAGCCACCCGGAGGCGCAGCCTTCGCGGGGTGGTGCGTGCCCCCTAGGCACAAGACTCCCCGCGGGCGCCAGGCGACTGTTGGAAGTTCTGGCCGTCCTCTGTGCCTCCGAGGGGCTCGGCGCCACCACGCGTGACGCGAAGTTTGTGGGAACGTGGCTGTGTGTTGGCGGAAGATCCCTTCAAGCCTCCCCAGCCCGCTGTCACCTCGGCAACCCCTCCCAAGACCCTACCGGACCACAGCCTGGGGGGGGGGGGGGGGGCGGAGTCTCAGCGGATGGCCCATGGGCGCCCTCCTCAGCCCCCCAATCTCCCAGCCCCATTGGCGCCAATGGGGGGGGACGCCCATGCACCATGCAATGCCAGCCAGGGAGCCCCCAAAGGAGTTTCTCTACTCTTGCCTCAGTTTCCTCACCTCTAGCGGACGGGAGCGCCCCAAAGGCGCCAGGCCCCGCCCCGCGTCTCTGAGCCTCCTTTGAGTTCAAACTCTCTCCCCGCTCCCTCACGGGCTGGGAGCTTCGGGCGGCTCCCCCGGGGAAGATCCCGGCCCCTCCTCTCCTCCCACGGCGCCCCAGCCTCGGCCCCCTCCCCGCAGTCCCAGTACCTTTTCCCCGCAATGGGCCCCGAGCCTCCTCCTTGCTGATCTGAGTAATGACGGCCGAGCTGTCCATGGGGCCGGGCGCGCTCCGCTCCGGCCGGACTCTGGCCCGGGCGCCCGGCCTCCCCCCCGGCTGGGGCCGGAATCGGGGCGCGGGGGGGAGGGGAGGGGTGGGAGGGAGGGATCCCCGCGAGCTTCGGAGGGGAGGGGAGCCAGGTTCTAGGGGGGAGGGGGAGGGAGGGGGCGCGGAGGAAACTTTGTTACAACATGGAGTTTCCTCCCCGCGAGGCGGATGCAAACATGGAACCCGGGCGCCGTTTCAAGGCTCCCCCTTAAAAGGGCAATGGCTTCGGTGTGACCTGGTCTCGGCCGCGGCTTTCACCACTTCAGGGACCGGCGTGGCTAGGCGGACTGGGAGGCGGGCCGGGCCGGGTTCCTGCCGCGCTCCAGGGGGCGTCGCCTCCCTTCCTGCCGCCCGCCGGCGGGGCTGAGCCTCTGCGGCTGCGTGGCAGGCCCGGTACCCGGCCCACCGTTCCAAGCTGCCGAGCGCCCCGGGCCAAGGCCCGCCTGCCCGGAGCGCCCACGCTGGGGAGTGCCCGAGTGCTCCGCGGCTCCACCTCTGCGCTTTCTGAGGACCTGAACTAGACGCTTCTTGGTTTCCTCGTTGAGGACTTGGGGATAGCGCTACCTCATCTGTGAAATGGGTCTTCTCTCTTGTCTGGTGGTCGCGGGGGTCACCTCGCAAGGACCTCGTGAGCCAGCGAAGGCTCTGCAGGCTCCAAGTATCTGCGCAAACCTCAGAAACACGCTCTTGAATGGGACGGTCGCTGATCCCCCCCGCAGCCCCAGGGCGAGGTGCCCCCGGTCTGCATGGCGTGAAATTCCAACTCCCGGCCCTGGGAAGCGGCCTGCCGACCTCTCCCCGCACGTCCACCCGCAGGTCCCGGGCCACCGCGCGTTCCCGCCTGAAGTTTAGTACGCGCTGTTCCCTTCGCGTAGCCAAATCCCACAGACCTTGAGGAAATGCCACCTTCTCCAGGGCCATTCCCAGACCCCCGCCCCTGCCCGCGCTCGCCGACCGCCCTGTGACTACTGGGGGTGCGGTGGGGGTCACGGGACTCGCTGCCGGTCCCTGGAGCCCAGCACGACGCCGCACGCAGCGGGCCCAAAGTCCGAACGTGGGGACCTCAAACCAGAGACTCTCATGGCCCGCCCCACCCGGCCTCTGGCGCAGTGCTGGCACTTGGGAACGGAGGTCCCCGTCTTCACGCGGGAAGCCCCTTCGTGGTGCGCGCCGTGGGTCTGCGGGCCGGTCTTTTCCCCGGTTTATGACGTCCTTTTCACTCGTCGTAACTATTTTGTGTTCACCATTTAAAAATTAAGAATAACGCCAAGCCCGATAAACACGCCTCGGCACTTCCTCCCCTCCCGCTCGCCCCTGGGGCCTCTTTGGCGGGGCGGGGCGGGCGCGTCCTGTCCCGTCCGGCCGCCGGGTGCAACGCGGCGCACGTCCGCCAGGGCCTGCAGAGGGGGAGCCGGGGAGGGGAGGCCCCGCGCGGGGGCCGGGAGGGGAAGGGAGGGGGGCGGTGCCTGCCTGAAGGCGCGGCGGCTTCGTGCCCCGAGGCTAGGAGCGGGCGCGGGAGGGGACTGATCCTCCCAGGCTGGACCCATCGGCCCTCCTCCGGCTCCTGGGGAGCCCACGGGGCGGCCACCATTGCGTTTCATCACCGTGATCGCCACGCAACGCTGGCGCTGTCCCAGCAGCCTGTTCTGGCTGCGTCTTTTAATCTCATTTCCACCTTAGAACGGCCTTCTTCTTATCCCATTTCATAGATGGGGAAACTGAGCTTGAAGAAAGGAAGCGACGTGCCCTTGCTCTACAAGCGAGGGGAAAGGCGGGATTCCAGCCTGGGAGCAGGACAGCGGTCTCCCCCGCGGTCCGGCCCCCTGGGTGGGGCTTCAGTCTTATCTCCGGATGCTGGGCCCTCTTGACCCCAAAAGGAAGCGTGTGGTGAGGGACTGAGTGGAGTCGTAGCCTCGCCCTTGGCCTGGGCTGGGTGACGCGCCTTCCTCTCCCTCCTTTTCTCCCTCTGTGAAGGGGACTGGAACCTGGCCGGCTTAATCTCCACCCACCATTCCTAGACGGGCCGTCCTGAGCTCACCGGATTCCTCAAGGATCCCCCCACCTCCTCCACTCCCACCTATAGCCACTCCAAGCCTTGGCCCTTGCAGGTCTTTTCCCAGGGAGACCTAACCCCTCCTCCCAGGCTCCCTAGGCGGCCAAGGCAGCTGCGCCTTTTGCTTGGAGCCCTGAACTTCTCTTCCCGCGCCTCGGGGCGGGTAGTTAGTTACGGAGTGAGTCGGGAAACCAGTAGGATTGCGTGGCCAGGGGCGGCGGGTGGGGGGACTTCGGGTATCCTCATTGGGATTGTCTACACCCGGCTGCTGTACCCCTCTATCTCTACAGGTGGGGGTCGCTGTATGCACTCTATTTTTGTCTGTTTTACCGATTCGCACCCCAGGCAAAATAAAATCTTGGGGGCCGCAAGTCAAACGGGGAGGGGCAGGAACGGGATTCAGCAGGGTCCTGTCTGGCACCTGTGGATTAGGAAGCGTCTCTTCCAACCCAGCCCCTCAGCTTCCCCATCTGCCAAATGGGGCTGGTAAAAGCCCAACCCAGGGGGATGGGGAGGGCGTGTAAAGTCGGGGTGCGCTCAGCAAGCTCCTGGGGAGTGGCAAGTGCGATCACGCCCTCCCTGAGGGGCCTAAAGGGAGCTTCCAGAAGAGCAACTCTGCACCCCTCTTCCTGGAGGGTAGATCTGACCTTGGGCTGGGAGGATTAGAGCTACTATGGGAATGGGGGCAGCCCTAAGCAGACTCCTTCCAGTCTCCAAATGACTGACCTTGGTGCTACCTCATTAACAGCCCTTTGCCCAGGCCCTGGGTAGCCCCTCAGCCAGCCCTCCGCGCCTTCTTGATCAACGTGCTCATTCTTCTGCGGTCCCCCCAGTCCTGCCCCGCAAAATCTAAGACGTCCCCAGAAGGCTTCATGTATTGGCAGATGTGCGCACACGGGCACCCACGCTCCTGACCCTGTTCCTGCTGGACAGTCCTGCCGGCACTTTCCCCCACCCCCGAACCGTGTTCAGCAAAATTCAGTCCCCTTCCCTGGCCGGCCTCACCGGCAGCGCGCTTCACCGCATTCTGCCACGGCGACTTGTTTGCACAGCTGTCTCCCGCCACTGGAGTGTGGGGTCCTTGAGAGCTGGCACCTTTAATTCGGGACTTTGCCTCCCTCCCCCACTTGTAACACAGGGCCTGGCAAAGGACTGGCACTCAATGCCAAGTGAATTCATGAGAGGAGTGTGTAGAGGGTACAACTGAGGCATTTCCAGGAGGCTGAAAGATCTGGGAGATGCCTGTCTCCGCTGCACGCCCCCCATTCATCTTCAGCTGGCACCCATCTCCAGTGCCAACCCCAGAGAAGGAGGCAGGCGACCCTCTTGCCCAGGTACCCTCTGCAGCACTGGCTCAGGTCGCGCCAGACGGGTCCCATCCCTTCTCGCCTTGAGGGACCCACTCGCATCGTTGCCCTTTTAAGAAAGAGGAAATTCTTCTCATAAACAAGCGTCCGCACCGGAACGCGGAGCCAAGCCGCCTACTCTGCTGGGTCCCTGGGAAATCGGGGGTTCCTCCAGGTGCAGCACCCGGCCCAAGTAGTTCAACTCTGGGGAAAGGCCCGCCGGCCCCTCCTCGTGCCACACTCCGCGGATCTGGGGCTGGGGTACCAGGGTCCCAAGGAGGTTGGAGGAGGGACTTGGGGGAGCCTAGAAACAGCCTAGGGAGTGTCTATAAAGTGCAGCCCTTGAATGGGGCGAAGGGATGCCCAGCCGCTCCCTAAGGCAGAGGGGGCTCCCTGCCCACACAGCTTCCCCCCACCCACTCTCCTCCGAGGCTTCTGGGGCCCCTGGGCTGGAGCCCCGAGTGCCCGCCTCCACCCGTCGTTTCGCTTGGCGGGGAGGGGTGAGGCCAAGGAGGGAGGGCCTGCGTCGGTATGGTCTCTACCTCTAGGAGGAGCAGTCAGCTGAGAGGGAGCGGTAACCGCGCAGCGTGGGAGTCGCGGCCGCCGGGTCCCCTGAGGAAACGGCAAAAAACTTGGGCCTCAGAGGCACGGACTCTTGAGTTCCTTATGACCTGGTGCCTGACGGAGAAAGTAGCGCACCTCCGTTTTACTGTCTGGAAAAATGGGTTACAGGCGGAACAGAAAGGCTGCGGCGAATAGGTGCGGACCAGACCCAGGCCTAGGGGTCTTCTGAATGCTTTGGAGACTTGGTGCCTTCCAGATTCCCGTCCCCTGCTCCTTTGGATGAGAGGCGTACTAGTATTTATTTAACTTTCATCATGCCAGGTGTGGTGGCTCGTGCCTGTAATTCCCAGCACTTTGGGAGGCGTAGGTAGGCGGATCACTGGAATCCAGCAGTTCGAGACCAGCCTGGCCGGCATGGCAAAACCCGTCTCTACTAAAAATACAAAAATTAGCTGGGCCTGGTGGCGCACGTCACTCCCGGGGCTGAGTCACGAGAATTGTTTGAACCCAGGAGTCGGAGGTTGCAATGAGCCGAGATCGCGCCATTGCGCTCCAGCCTGGGTCCACAGAGCGAGACCCTTTCCCTGTCTCAAATAAATAAATAAATAAATAAAATACTTAACATTCATCAGACTCTATTTCAAGCTCCGGTTTGGAAACTGTGTCCCGCCCAAGCCTCCAAGTCCCCCAGTCCCCATCCCACCTGCCCTTTGGCTATCAGATCAATGAATAAATACCTCTTGAATTTTTTTTGTTTTTTGGCTCCAAGTGCCAGGGCCTATGTTTAAAGTGCTTAACCTCCATGGCAAGGGTGGCAGTGTCTCCGTTTTACAGATGAGGACACAGACCCAGAGGGTAATCACATGGCTATGCTAGGAAACAGCAGGTCCCTGAGGCTCCCCAGGTTGACCGGCCTCAGGAAGTGTCCCACTGCATCCTGCTGCCTGCATTCGCCCCCTCCACATCCAACAGGCCAGTCTTGCCATCCATGCCACTCCCAGCCAGGTTCCAGGTGTGGACCTAGCCAGAGGTCTCCCCTCTCTGGTCCTCTTCAAGAAGCCCATACAGGAAGTGGCGGTGGGAGCTGTGGGCCAGAAAGGTGGTTCCATGGGCAAGGCAACAGGTCCAGACCTGGGGGAGGGGTGACCATGAGTTGGGGAGAGGCCAACACCTCTGGGGAAGCCCGTGTGTCCCCCCAGATCCTCCCCATTGGTTGCTTCCTGTCTTTGCCTCACCCATGCCCAAGGCACCCCCCAGCCCTACTGTACCAGGTAGGTGGTAAGGCCCAGGTAGGCTGTGGCTAGCAGGGCCGCAAGGCCGAAGTAGGCAGGGTGTGGCAGGCTGGGCAGGTAGCTGATCACGAAGTAGAGGTTGATGGCACAGACTAGCGCCATGATGGAGGCGGTGACGGCTTTGCTCAGCCTGGGGGACACAAGAGAGGCTCGGGACTGGCTGGCGGCAGCTGGACCACCTGCATCTACTCCTCTTCATCTCCCAGTGCCCACACTGGGGTGGGAGTGGATAAACAAAGGCCACTTCTCTGGGCTGCGGGACCTGGAGCAGACAGACCCCCCTGCCCACCTCCTGCCTCCTGGTCCTCCAGGCTGCACACTGGCAGGATTTGGCAAAAGCTGACTCGGAGGCCAGAGTGAAGAGCTCAGGCTCTAGAAACAGCTCTCTGCCCTGGATTCCAGTCTTCGCTCCCCCACTTGCTAGCTGGGTGACCCTGGGCAAGTTCCTAAGCCTCTCTGGGCCTCTGCAGCTTCATTGGGATAATGGGGAGAATTGGAGCTCGTACCTCTGGGTGGCTGTGAGGATGAAATGTGGTGATGCAAGTCCAGCCCTGGGGATAGGGGTACTCACCAGCCATTGGCAAACTCCTGCATGAGGGCGGGCATGCTGGTGAACGTGAGGATGGGCAGCACGGCGAAAGGGAGCTGGGAAGAGCAGCAGGAGCCGAAGCTGAGGGATCCTGCCTCAGAATATGGCAAGGGTGGGGGCAACATGGGCGTTGCTTGTCACCTTCTGCCTGGCTGTGAGCTCGACTGTCCTAATCACACTGAGCCTGCTTCCCTGTCTCCTGCCTTCTAAGGTCATGGGCTCCAAAGCAGGAGAAAGTGTTTGGGGCTCTGGCACCAAGCTGCTTTGGTTTGAATCCCAGCTCTGCCACTAGTAACTTAACTTTTCCCATCTGTAAAATGGGATAATGAGCCTGGGCAACATACATAGTGAGCTCTTGTCCCTACTTAAAAAAAAAAAAAATCATCCCTCGCGCAGTGACTCATGCCTGTAATCCCTGCACTTTGGGAGGCCGAGGCAAGTGATCCACCGAGGCCGAAGCTGAGTAATCCCTGAGGTCAGGAGTTCCAGACCAGCCTGGCCAACATGAGGAAACTCCATCGCTACTAAAAATACAAAAAAATTGACCGGGCGTGGTGGCTCATGCCTGTAATCTCAGCACTTTGGGAGGCCGAGGTGGGTGGATCATCTGAGGTCAGGGGTTCGAGACCAGCCTGACCAACATGATGAAAGCCCGTCTCTACTAAAAATACAAAAATTAGCCGGGCATTGTGGCAGGCGCCTGTAATCCCAGCTACTCGGGAGGCTGAGGCAGAAGAATCACTTGATCCCAGGAGGCAGAAGTTGGAGTAAGCTGAAATCGTGCCACTGTGGCCTGGGTGACAGTGTGAAACTCTGTCTCAAAAAAAAAAAAAATTTAGCTGGGTGTGGTGGTGGGTGCTTGTAATCCCAACTACTTAGGAGAGTAAGGCTTGAACCTGGGAGGCGGAGGTTGTAGTGAGCCAAGATCTTGCCACTGCACTCCAGCCTGGGCAACAAGAGTGAAATTCCATCTCAAAAAAAAAAAAAAAAAAAATTAGCTAGATGTGATGGTGTGCACCTATAGTCCCAGCTACTCAAGAGCCGGAGGTGGGAGGATGGCTAGAGCCTGGGAGGGCAGGCTGCAGAGAGCCATGATGGAACCACTGCACTCCAGCCTGGGTGACAGAGGGAGACTGTCTCTGGGAAAAAAAAAAAGAAAGAAAGTCCTACCTTCCTGCCCCCAGGGTGGCTTTGGGAATTGTGGGAGCCTTATAGGCAAGGTGTGCCTGGGACAGGGCCTGGCAGGCCCAGGTGGGGCTCAGCATGGGGGTTGCTGGAGGTCCTGTTTAGCTCTATGGTGGGCAGGGCTGGGGAAGCACTCGCATCTCACCAGCAGGCTCTGCAGCACGTTGAGCAGATCATTGAGGCCCGACAAGTCCCTCAGGTCCCGAAAGACAGCTACAAGCACGGTGGGCAGGATGGCACAGGAGCGGGTGAGGAGGACACGGGCGAAGCGTGACCACCGCAGCTTCAGGAAGCCCTGGGGTGGGGGTGATTGCCTTGGTGGGGAGTAGACAGGACTGGGATTCAGAGGCGAGATCCCCTGTAGTCCCTCCACGCCTCATGCCCGGGGCACGCTCTGCTTTTCCACTGCAGAATTGTGGGCAGCTCTGTCCCTAGGTGGCAAGATGGGATGGATGGGAACAAATGGGGGGCTCTCATCCCATAGCTGGTTGCTGAAGACCACATCTCTACAAATAATTTTAACAATTAGCCTGGTGCGGTGGCATGAGCCTGTGGTCCCAACGACTCAGGAGGCTGAGGTTGAGGCTGCAACGAGCCGTCGTCGTGCCACTGCACTCCAGCCTGAGCAACAGAGCAAAATTCTGCCAAAAAAAAAAAAAAAAAAGAAGAAGAGAAAAGGGAAAAAAAGAAAAATGAAAAGAAAAGAAGGAAAGAAAGAAAAGGATCCACAAGGCCCAGAGTCCTAGCCCCCAGTTGTGCGCTCATTGGACCCCTTGCCCTCCCGGGCCCGCCCCCTGCCCCACCTCCATCACGAACTGTCCCGCGTAGGTGCCGGTCATGGTGGAGCTCTGCCCGGCCGCCAGAAGACCTACGGCCCAGATGCAGAGGGCCGCGGGGCCAAACAGGCAGCCCAGGATCACGCCCTGCAGGGACGGAGTGTGGTCGGACCGGTGGCCCCGCCCCCCGGTGGGCGGGGCGAGGCTCATCTCCAGGTCACGCCCTCCTCGCCCACCCTTGCTCACCCCCTGGTAAATGTCCACGGCCACGGTGGCGTTGTTCATGGGGAAGATCTTGGCGTAGTCGTGGAGGCTGCTGTTGGCACAGATGTTGAACTGCGGGTACCCGGGCAGTAGGAGGAAGATGTGAGTAGCACCCTCAGTCTTGGGAAACCGGACAACTAGCCTTGACCAGGGTTCCAAAACTGGTGGCCCTAGGCTGAATCTGGCCAGACATATTTTGTTTGGCTAGTAAAATAAGTCGGGTTTTGTTTTGCTTTGCTTTTATGTTTTATAGCAACAAGGGTCTGGTCATGTTGCCCAGGCTGGTCTTGAACTCCCAGGCTCAAGCCAGCCACCTGCCTCGGCCTCCCAAAGTGCTGGGATTACAGGCGTGAGCCACCACGCCCAGCCGGGTTTTTTTTTTTAATGTGGATTTGTTGCCCATGAGAACCCAGTTTCCAGCTTCTTTTAGGTTTGTGAGAGCTGGCATCAATCCACACAGACAGCTGGCTGGCATGCCTGGCTTCCCCTCCTTACACTACCCACTTCCCTTAGCTCTGCATCCCTGCCTGGTCTTGAAGACAAGGGTTGGCAATCCTGATTTTGACCTCTCTCCTTGTGCCAAGGAACAGAGTGAGACCCAGGGAGGAGACTGTGACCTCCCAAGGAAATAGAGCAAGGCAGTGGCAGTGCCCAGGTCCTTGGAGGCCTGGCCACCCCTCCTCCCACAGGGCTCAGCATTCAGGAAGCCCCAACCCTGGCTGCCGTTAGTTGTTAGAGCCTCATGACTAAGATCCACTCAGAAGGGGAGACAGATACAGAGACACAGGTCCCAGGTCCCAGAGAGTCAGGGAAGAGCTGGCTAGTTCCTTTTCCAGTGTTAGCAACAAATGTCACCTCTTCCAAGAAGCCTTTCCTGACCACTTAGGCT